TTGAAGCATCTCAAGGACAGAAGTATTTCTGGGTTTGGTTTGTCACAGGAAAGAGATGGCCTGGGGAAACCCCATGCAACACTGGCAAGCTTAACTTGGAACAAGTATAATCTGCTTTTGTACTATAGCGCAACTGATGGCCAAAGGTCTGGTGTTTGGGGCATGAAAGTTATTTCTATGTTTTCACTGTTATCCCAGAAATGTAGGAAAATAAACAGGGTTATCCATCACATTTTAAGGCATCTCCAAAGCAAACGAAACATTAAGGAAGTTATACAAGGGAGAGTTTTCTAGCGCTAAGTAGACGCCACTAGATGGCAGTCTTCGAATTACCTTTAAATGCTTTAAAGCAAGTCTTTAAATGCTTTAAAGCAAGTCAAAAGGCATATATACAATTACCAAAACAAATTCCTAAAATAACATCAAGTCCATCAAACAGATGCAACACAGACTGGCTCAGGTAATTAGGAGCAAGGAGGCATCTCCCCTTAACGTGGAGCATGTCAGCTTAAACCAGAGAGAAGAGTGCTGCAGATGTTCCCAAAGGTTTGCAACACAGCTGTAGAAAGACTTCTGGAGAAAACGAGACCAAGAACTCACATGGAGATACATTACAATGAAAGACTATTAGGTGTTTTAACCAACTGTGACTTAATTCTCACAGAGTCCAAGAGGTCACTAAGCTGATTAGACGACATAGGGACATGTATCTGTAACATTACAATTGTTACAATTAATTTATGATACTAAATCTGAGCTATACTCCTAGTAAACAACAGGCACTCAGACATCCCTTAAATGTTACTGAAAAAATACGTATATATAAATTATAAATGTCTCCTAATTATAAAATTATACTGCAAAACTGTTGATCTATTTTGATATTTGATTCACATAAATTCTTGGAAGCCCAGGAAATTTAGAGAAGCTGCCTAAAACACCAGCTCAGAGAAGTTAAGGCAGTGGCAGTCAATTGGATGTTACACTGCATTCACACTGGAAAGTTTCAGGTTACTTTTACCCTTTTAGAAGAGCGGCACAATAGACTTTAAATGTGATAAATGGTCATGTCCAACTAACCTCATCTTAGTCCAGAAGTGAAAACCCAGAAATATGCACCAGATGCTCAAGCTGTTTCAGTCTCCACATTTCATATAACAGGAGGAAAACATTAATCATTTTTACAAGTTCTACTTCCCACCAAGGAAGACTTAGGCAATAGTAATGCAAACATCCTAAAAACTCTTTCACTTCACAAGCTTTGGTGTCAAAAGCTTGCCTAGGGAAGGAAAGACAATAAAGACCTCATAACCCTTTCTGGGGTTCTGTGAGTGGCCCTTATTTATTCAGAACCACAAGACTAAATGCTGGCTGCTCTTGGCTTTCTGGCTGCTCTTGGCTTGGACTGGCGCACGCTTCGTTGGGTTAGAAACTGGCTGGATAGCCGGGCCCAAAGAGTCGTGGTAAATGGAGTCAAGTCCAGTTGGAGGCCAGTCACTAGTGGCGTTCCCCAGGGCTCGGTGCTGGGGCCGGTCCTCTTTAATATCTTCATCAATGATCTGGACGAGGGCATTGAGTGCACCCTCAGTAAGTTTGCAGATGACACCAAGTTAGGTGCGTGTGTCAATCTGCTCCAGGGTAGGAAGGCTGTGCAGGAGGATCTGGATAGGCTGCACCGATGGGCTGAGGTCAACTGTATGAAGTTCAATAACAAGGCCAAGTGCCTGACTCCTGCACCTGGGGCGCAATAACCCCAAGCAGAGCTACAGGCTGGGAGATGAGTGGTTGGAGAGCTGCCAGGCAGAGAAGGACCTGGGAGTGATGGTGGACAGTCGGCTGAATATGAGCCAGCAGTGTGCTCAGGTGGCCAAGAAGGCCAACGGCATCCTGGCTTGTATCAGAAACAGTGTGACCAGCAGGGCTAGGGAAGGTGATCGTCCCCCTGTACTCGGCTCTGGTGAGGCCGCACCTCGAGTACTGTGTTCAGTTTTGGGCCCCTCGCTACAAGAAGGACATCGAGGTGCTTGAGCGGGTCCAGAGAAGGGCGACGAAGCTGGTGAGGGGCCTGGAGAACAAGTCCTACGAGGAGCAGCTGAAGGAGCTGGGCTTGTTCAGCCTGGAGAAGAGGAGGCTCAGGGGTGACCTTATTGCTCTCTACAGATAACCTTAAAGGAGGCTGTAGCGAGGTGGGGGTTGGCCTGTTCTCCCACGTGCCTGGTGACAGGACGAGGGGGAATGGGCTTAAGTTGCGCCAGGGGAGTTTTAGGTTAGATGTTAGGAAGAACTTCTTTACTGAAAGGGTTGTAAGGCATTGGAACAGGCTGCCCAGGAAAGTGGTGGAGTCACCATCCCTGGAAGTCTTTAAAAGACGTTTAGATGTAGAGCTTAGGGATATGGTTTAGTGGGGCCTGTTAGTGTTAGGTCAGAGGTTGGACTCGATGATCTTGAGGTCTCTTCCAACCTAGAAATTCTGTGAAATAGAGGGGAGGCAGCTCTATCCTTCCACCCAGGGTAGAAGCAGGACAGCCTCCAATGCGGTTTAAGGCTGCAGACCTCTCCAGGACCCACTTTTGTTCTCTAAGACTCTGCATTCCACCGATAAGTTGATTTTCAACACAGTCCACTATCTTAGGCATTTCAGAAGTATGGGATGAACACACCTAGTACCATATTGATGTGTTTCAGTTTCATTAATATGATAAATTCGTGCCACAGCAACAGTTGGCATCACTTATTTAACTCAAACATAGATACTGATTAGCAGCACCAATTTTTAAAACAAAGCTACGTTTTACAATGCAAGACTTGCCCACACTGACTAACTGTATCAGACAGACATCAGATTTTATTTGAAAAGAGGCCACCCAATGTAAAGTTGTTTGGTTAAGGAGGTGAAGGGCAAATACATTAAATTCTACTGCTGCTATTTTGTGCTTCTGAGGAAGACAGCTGTAGACTTCTCCAAGGTGATGATACATCTTGTCTAAGTATCTTTTTTTTTTTTTTCTAACTTGTACAAGATAACTTACAATGACATTTTTTGAATGCCTGATCCACTGAAAAAAATTCTCTCTTCCATCTAGACCTATCATTTGGCACAGTTAACCACAAGGCCCTGCTCTATCTGCTTGTGCATAAATATGGAATAAACAAGGACCTCAAACAATTTCAAGCCTGGTTCCTGGGAGACTGGCAGATGAAAAGGAAGTAACACAAACGTGAGTTCTTTCAGTGAAAGGTCAGCATTTCTTAGGGAATAAACTGCAGTTCACCGACTTCCCACTCACAAATTATCATGAGAACATGATCTTTTACTGCTAGCTTGTCCTCCTGCTGGAGAAGGAGAACATACTTATCCTTGGTCATTGGGAAAACGACCAGCTCCTCCACAATGTCAGCACTCTGAGGGCAGTATACAACCTCAGCTAAAAGCATTTGCCAAAGGCCACTGCTGATAAATACAAGTGAAATACAGATCATGCACAGAGTATCAAGAGGAAAGAAAGGGGTAGATAAAGGGTAGGTTAAAAAAAACACCACTGAAAGACCAAACATTTCTGCAAAGCAGGGTGAGACAAAGCAATCTCTATTTGAAATCAGGCTGGTATTTTTACCAGCAGGTAAACAAGCACATTTCATTGACAAGTCATTGGGTTCATCATTTGCTTGAAATGTCACCTTTCTGTATAAAAGTACCTACTTGTCACAGTTCTTAGCTTCTTTTGTCAAGACAGCCAAAAGATGGCAGAGAAAACAGACACACACCCCAACTGAGCCCACTCCTCCCACAGCGGAACAAGAGACACATAGTACTTGCAGGTTCAGAAGTCTAAGACAAGTAATAATGATAACAAGGATCACACATCCAAAAACTCTTCTCTTGGTAAACTGGGGAAGCATTGCAGGACAGGAAGAGAGACATGTCATCAGCTCCTAACATCTTGCAAAGCCAAGCCCAACTGAGAAATTCCTTTTCCAGCAGTTCTTCCTGGTTTCCCCATCTCTCCCCACTTTTCATCTGTAGTCTTTCATCTTCCATCACTGAGCAGGATGAAGGAACATGGTAGTGTGGAAAGGATGCTCCCAACACTTGTCTTAAACCCTTACATACAACTTGTATCTCTGTTAGGCACCATTCATATAGAAGTATTTCCAGCTGTAATCTCTGACACACTGAAGAAGTAGTTACATGGATAGTTCATTACAGCATTTAGGAGTTTTATGCCAGGAAACTAAGATAAAAAGCTTAATGGATAATGGAAGCACAGCTTCCTACAGACAGGAAGGAGCAGACCTCTTTCCTGGTAGGAAAGCCTGACACAATTTTCTTCTGCAGACATTCTGCTAGCACTCTTCCTACCTGTTTGGCTAATGCCTTTTTAAACAGGCTGTTTCTCCTGCTGTTTATACACAATATTGAAGCTGGAACCAACTGACCCATAGAGAGTATTCATGTACTTATAGAAACTAAAGCCTGGGATGATACGTCAGACCAGGCCACATAAGAGCAGAAGTTCTCTTCTACTTCCTGTATCATGCAGCCATAGGAGAGTTACCACCTCCTTCAGCAGTCCCCACACATACATATTAGTTTTTAACACCTAAGCCCTAAGCTCTCCATGGCTGGGCAGTACTAAATATGTGTATTTGTGATCCTCTGTCTCTGCTGAGACCTCACTCAATGGGCTGCTGTAATGTAAACCTTATTTACTATCCTTACTGGCTCGTGTCTTAAAGCAGCTTCAGCAAAGTAACACCTATTTGTGTGTGCTTTCTAAGTGACATTCAGATCACAGGAATATATACATCTCTGATTCATAAAGTATACTAAGTGTTTATTTCTGGATGCTAGGCTTGTGACAGCAACCAGCAGCCTTCACATCAAGTGGTAACACAAGCCAGTGGCTGTCCAGCAATAATTACAACAGAGCATAACAGAAGCCATGACATGGGTTTTCTTTAATTTGCACAATGCATGCAAACGGACACAAAAAGGGATATAGCAAAGTCACTAAATATATATTTAAAATTATGATATATTTTCCTAGGTCATTCTCTTTGACTTTCACTAATTTATCCCTTTGTCACACAACCAGGCATCTGGGACATGTTGCTAATTGCTGCTGTTCTGCTGCTGATCAGTGGGACCCTGGAAATCTTCCTGCCTGGCAATGCCTTGTCTTGGGACATCGAGAGTAAGGTCAGCAACTGCCTCTTTCCCTCAGACATCCAACTCTTCACCTCCAACTTGCAATTCTCAAAATGTTTTCTTGAATTTCTCTGTGCCTCCTCATATAAAAGGTGTATCTCTACAGCAACACAGTGCCTGCAGCTCACAGGAAAACAGCTAAACCAGCTCACCCATACAGTCTGGGAAGACAGATATGTTTTATTAAAAGTTAAGAAATTAACAGGTAAGTCTTCAGGGTAACTCAAAGATTTCTTAAAATGGCATTTTAATTAACCTAAGTAATTTTATTACCAATTCTTCTCACTCATCATTGCACAGAATTTCTCAAGTATGTCATAAATGTTCCTATTTTTAAATTGACGGCTTTGTTTAAAAAAATAATAATAATACTCTCTTCATGGCTTCCCTGCTGCATTATATGCAAAATAATTTATAGGGACAGCAGGAAAGGATGTGGGTTTTAATATTAAAAAAAAAAAAAAAAAAAAAAAAAAGCCAATTTTCTGTGTAGTTAAGTCTTGTCAAAAAAAAAAAAAAAAAAAGAGATAAAATAAATACCATTTAATAAACATTTCCATTTCCCACGGATCCATTTTCTGTTACTATCTGGCAATATTTTTTCTGTTGCTCTTCCTTGAAAGACTCTTTGACCTTTTTTCTTTTCAGTCCTCCATCCCTGAAAGATACAGATAAGAAATTGTCCTGAGTTCACTTCAGAGGCAGAAAAATGTTATGATATTTATATGGCATAGTCACAGCAACTTTTACTCTAAATGCTGGCTTTTGCAATGTAACACAAATGATCAGTACTGCCAAAATCTATCACGCAATACAACAACAGCCTTCCATTAATCCAGGGTATAACGGGCAAAATATTTATTTTCACCAAATTATGCCTGCTGGCTGGATCCACCTGTCAGCTCTGTTTCTCTTTCTATACTAAATCCACTTATTCTAGTAGAGCTGTTAACAGAATAAGGTACTATTATCTTAGTCTGAGTCAGTAAGGGGAATGGACTACTGTCAAAGAAAAAAAAAAAAAGGAAGAAATTTTAAAAGGTTTAAGTTTTAGATTAAAAAACATCTAGATATGTTTTTAACTCCACTTCAAAGGTGTTCAAAGTTTCCTCATACCAAGGAAGTATAGACATTCCTCCTCGAGCAGCAATGACAGCCTTGACTCTGTTGGCGAAGTGAATGGCATCTTCTTCTTCCTAAAAAAGACATCAATGATTTGCTGTGCAACTTTCTCACTTAAGTAGGCACCTTTTGTCAGAGAGCTGACACTTTTGTTTATGCCACAAGACAAACAGGTGCTGCAGTAATATTCCAGCTGATCCTGAGGAATGCCACCTGGCAAGTCGGCACACTGAGTCTGTCATGTTCAGTGCCAAGAAGAACCAAGTGTGAGGCTCTGTGGTTTCCGTGGCAATCCAAAGTAACACACAGAGCGAGGTCACAGGTCTGGCCAGAGCAGGGGATGTATCTGCACCCAGGACCACAACATCGGTCTAACCCCAAGAAGCTGCTAACACATTGACAAAATCACCTCAGAGGAGACGGGGTGCCTTCAATAGAGCTGGGGCCGGGTGCATTCGGTGCCAGTGTATTATCATGTTTCTGCAAGGGTCTGTTTGCCTGAACTGCAGAGGACTCTGAAGATGCATTACAGCAGCCTCCCTGCCAGGATGAGGGCAGGGCAAGGGGTGGGGTAGGCAGTAGCAGAATGCACACTGCTGCAGCAAAGGTCTTAGCCGTCAGCTTCAGGTTGGTGCCCGGAGCTGATATACCCCTGTTATATGGCTTGCTCTGCTGTTTCAGGTGTCCCACAGGATCTCATTATGAAAAAACAAAAAACAAAAAACAAACAAAAAAAAAAAAAAACAGGGAACAGAAATGACTGTAAAGAAGAAGCAAGCTAGTGAGAGAGTGCAAATCCTTCTTTTAAAGTTTTGCAAGCTTTGTAGTGTTAGCTGCACAAAGATAAGCTTTTTTTTTGCAGCCATCAGGTATGAACGATGACTGTAATTCAGTTGTCCAGCTACAAGAACTCTGAGATATCTATTGCACAGATAAATTACTATGCTCTAGGAAGCTTACAGCCTTCACAGATATAAGCTTAATTTACTCCAAAAGCACACCATGAATCCTAGAGAAGGAAATGCAGATCTGTATTAGGATGGCTTTCATTGTGCTAATAGGCGCTCTGATTCCCAACCTTGGTTTAATTTTAGGACTACAGTGTCACTGCCTGGCCTTTTTCCATTAGATTGTCAATAATGACTTGCTAACATAATGTGAAAAACAATGCGGGTTTCCTCTCAGAAACCTATGATGAGCATTTCCAACACACACACAAAAGCTTAAGTACCTCTTTGACCATTGGTGGCAGGTACCACACATTACAGACAATAGCCCAGCTGGTCATCACATTAAAAGTATAGGTCATCATGGAATACTTTGTGCTATTCCAGAATGCGTCTCCAAAGCGGGGGTCATACTGGAAGACAAGAAGAACAAGCATGTTCTGCCTTCTAACTGGTATGAAGAGATTTAAGGCGTATATGCAGAAAGAATGTTAGGGGAAGAGGTAGAGTGACTGGGCTAAAGCTATTCTGAAAGCCTTGCAAGCATCAAGAGAATAGTGCAATTACTAGTATCGTGCCTTTATCCCTCAAAAGCCAGTAGGCCTAGGACAAAAGGCCAGACAGAACTGCACAAGCAGCACAGCATTTCCAAATGTACTTTTCAGGTTGCTAAAGATGTTCAGCAAGCTGTTTTCCATACTGCACTGGGCTGCAAGACATTTTGCATCATGAAAAGATTCAGTTGTCTCAGGACTTGCTTAAGTGCCTTATTTCCACAAAACAAAACCCCTTTTAAGGTTTGCACACAAACAGTCTCTCTGACTTGAGAGCCATCTGCAAAAAGTCCTTCCATGTTTGTGCAATTGCAAATACGTTACCTTGATTGCTACTGGATGGATGGTCCCTCCCACCTCAAAACTTCCCTTCTTAAACATCATAACTGATGTGTTGTTTACGCAGGTGCCTAGCCAGAATGGAAACATAGAGAAGATATCAGCAAATGAATCCTACACTGCCTAAAGGAGACCTAAGTTGATAGAAAGAAAGCACGCTTTTGTTCAGTACCATAATCCCAGAGCCCATTCTCTCTTTCATTATGCTACACATAATGACAAATAGACTGCCATAGAACTATTGTAAAATATTTGAATCTGACTTCTCATATCTCATAAGAGCTAATTAATTCTACACACTAAAAATAGACATCTCAGTTATAAAGACTGGATATGACAAACTGCATTCAGTGTAAAGTGAGGAGGGCAAAAAAATCTATGCAGTTGTTTCCTACCTTCTGGAAAAATTAAAATGGGTAATTTGGCCTTATCTTCAATGTGTTCTCTAATTCTGTGAAGACAAAATAAAATTTTAGTGTATACTTCGTTTTCATAGAAGACTTGCATTTGAATTTTGTTAAGAATCTAAACATTTGCCATCTTTCTATCATTTATCAGCAGTCCTGGCTCTCAGGGGAGGTCCCAGTCGACCGGTGGCTAGCAAATGTGACACCCATCTACAAGAAGGGCCAGAGGGTGGACCCAGGAAACTATAGGCCTGTTAGTTTGACTTCAGTACCCAGGAAGCTCATGGAGCAGATTATCTTGAGTGTTATCATGTGGCACTTGCATGGCAACCAGGCGATCAGAGCCAGTCAGCATGGGTTTATGAAAGGCAGGTCCTGCTTGATGAACCTGATCTCCTTCTATCACAGTGGATGAAGGAAAGGCTGTGGATGTGGTCTACCTTGACTTCAGTAAGGCTTTTGACACCGTTTCCCACAGAATTCTTCTAAAGAAACTGGCTGCTCTTGGCTTGGACTGATGTACGCTTCATTGGGTTATGAACTGGCTGGGTAGCCAGGCCCAAAGAGTCGTGGTGAATGGAGTTAAATCCAGTCAGAGGCCGGTCACTAGTGGCGTTCCCCAGGGCTCAGTACTGGGGCCAGTCCTCTTTAATATCTTCATCAATGATCTGGATGAGGGCATTGAGTGCACCCTCAGTAAGTTTGCAGATGACACCAAGCTAGGTGCGTGTGTCGATCTGCTCGAGGGTTGGAAGGCTCTGCAGGAGGATCTGGATAGGCTGCACCGATGGGCTGAGGCCAACTGCATGAGGTTTAACAAGGCCAAGTGCCGGGTCCTGCACCTGGGGCGCAATAACCCCAAGCAGAGCTACAGGCTGGGAGATGAGTGGTTGGAGAGCTGCCAGGCAGAGAAGGACCTGGGGGTGATGGTTGATAGTCGGCTGAATATGAGGCAGCAGTGTGCTCAGGTGGCCAAGAAGGCCAACGGCATCCTGGCTTGTATAAGAAACAGTGTGACCAGCAGGGCTAGGGAGGTGATCGTCCCCCTGTACTCAGCTCTGGTGAGGCCGCACCTCGAGTACTGTGTTCAGTTTTGGGCCCCTCATTACAGGAAGGACATGGAGGTGATGGAGTATATCCAGAGAAGGGCAACGAAGCTGGTGAGGGGTCTGGAGAACATGTCTTATGAGGAGCAGCTGAGGGAGCTGGGCTTGTTCAGCCTGGAGGAGTCTCGGGGCAACCTTATCGCTCTCTACAGGTACCTCAAAAGAGGCTGTAGTGAGGTGTGGATTGGTCTATTCTCCCACATACCCAGCGATAGGATGAGGGGTAATGGGTGAAAGTTGTGCCAGAGGAGGCTTAGGTTGGATGTTAGGAAAAACTTCTTTACCGAAAGGGTTGTTAGGCATTGGAATGGGCTGTCCAGGGAAGTGGTGGAGTCACCATCCCTGGAGGTCTTTAAAAGAAAGGTCCTTTAGATATGTGATATGGTTTAGTGGAGGACTTGTTAGTGTTAGGTGAAAGGTTGGGCTAGGTAATCTTGGAGGTCTCTTCCAACCTAGATGATTCTGTGATCTCTTATAGGTGAAGCTCTTGTCCAATAACTCTTTGCCAGTCAATGGTCTCAGCAAGGATTTATACTAGTTTCAGGCCTTGATCTTAGTGTTTTTCTCTTGCTAAATACATATATAGGTTTTTTATAAAACTGTACCCTCTACTTATGTATCATCATATTGACCCAATTAAAAGGAAGCCCAAGAATGGCTTCTTATGGCTTCTTATGGCATGTTAAAATCTTAGTTCTAGCAATGAGCACAATCAAACCTTTTTATTCCCCTCCCCCCCCTTTTTTTTTTTGACTAAAACACATGGAATATATTAATGTTTAATTCTTTCCAGGTTCCTAGCATCAGATTTACATATATATAATGTTTCTCCACATCTAGAAAAGAGAAAGGCCACTGTTTTACTGCATTTTCTGCATCACTTAAGAACCACTTTTGTTAAAAAAAAATAATTCACTAAGCAGATTAATGATGCAGATTAATCTGCTGGTTTTCAAGATATCTATGTGCATTTCCTATGAATCAAGAGCATACATTTCCTGTCCACTCTATGTTAAAACGCATAAACAAAACATCAGCTTCCAAAAAAAATAATCAGACATCAATCCAGTATAGGGGGACCAACTCCCTTTTAAGGACTAGCTGCCATAGATACTTGCTTCATGTTAGCTGCATTGCACCGTATGTCATGATAATTTTGTGTGACTATGAAGATTCTCCGTGAACACCTAAAAGGCTAACAACTGCTATACTGAGTCTTATCCTTCTCATGGCCTTCAAGTCCAATACACTGTCTCTGCCAGAAATCAGCACTGCAGGCCTTTAGAGCAGTACAGGCAACAAACACACATGAACACTTCTCCAGGATGCTCTTCCAGCTTCTACGAGCTAGGTGGTACCTGGATCTTTTTTTCTTTGCTTAATTCCTTCTTCAAATTTCCATATGTAAGACTGAAGAGGACGGAGGAAGTTGCTAAAGGGCTGTTGCTGGCTCCCTCAAATAGCCTGTTGATCTCCACAAGCAAACAGGTAAGCCTAAGGTTAAAGTTTCATATTGTTGGCAACTATCCCTTTATCCCATACTCATACCAGACAAAACCAGCTTTCTGATGCTCAGAGCTGATGAAAAAATATATCAGGGCAAGGCATGCTCTGGAAAGATGTTCTGTCAGAACTGCAATTTTGGTCCTGACATCCAGAATCATCACCCTTGAAACTGAATGAGCAGGGTCCTGCCTGGGGCAGGAAGACAGATTGTACCAACATGAAAATTCCCAGAGGTTACAGGGCAAATGATTGGAAATTCAGAAGAGGAACGCTACACACTGTACTTTCGTTGATGGAGTAGTTTAAAACCTTACACAGGCAACAATCTACAGCTGCCTGCCACAAAGAGATGCAAGGTCAGAACACTCTCAGCTCATGATGGGGCCTCAAAATTAATTACTAGACCTGACAGGACAGTTAAGCAAACATCTCACTACCTTACTTTTTTCTCACCAGATGACGATCTTTCATTTCTGAACGTTCAAACAAAACATGCTGAGTGGTTTGCATGCAAGATTTCTGAATAAGTCCCAGAAGCCCTCCATGTACCTGGCCAACCTGCAAGCCAAAAAATAAAAGTCACTAGCAAAAACACACAGATATTTTGTTGAAAAAAATCTAACTAAAGATGAACCAATTTCTGAGCTTGCACACAAATGATACCAATTCTCTTGGTCAGAAGTGTGCACACACCTACCTGTGTCTATTACATCACAGTCCTAAATGGGAGATTTCGAATGCTATAAAATCCCACTCTCTCTGCCAGTAAGCTCATCCTCTTGTCCAACACTGCATCTACGAGCATCTCAACATTACCGGTATTTACAAGCTCTCTTGTTCATACCAACGAATAGCATCCATCACTAGCCAGGATTAGAACATCTACTGGAGATGTGTGGTTAGCTACACAGATGCCTCCTTTCCGTGGTCTGTTTTCCCTGCAACAACAGGGAAAGTCTTATTTCATGTTTATTCTCCAGACTGCAAGCCCCATCAGGTAATCTATCCAAGGAATGTACATCCACAAAAGAGACCCTCAGTGACAATAAAATGTCATGCACATACCCTACCTGTACATTCATAGCAAGTGGAAGAACAAGATGATTTAAAATACTAATATTACTCTGAGGTGTGTTAAAACCTCTGTCTATCATTACAACAGCTAAGTCATCTTCCCCCACACTTCTGAGAGTCCCTTCGAATTTTACTAGTTTTCATCAAAATCAGTTTCCTTATATCCAAGAATATGCAACATCACTGGAAAAGGCATAGAAGGCATTTTAAATGGATACATGAACATTCACAGAGGAACGTATCGAAGACTTCTTGGACACTAAAATTTTCAAGTCAAAAAAAAAAAAAAAAAAAAAAAAAAGAATGGCTTTGGTTCCTCTCTGAAATACCAACAAAAAATATTTCAGAGGGCTCCATTGCATAAATCTCAACAACTCAGCAAGCATATTAGAAAAAAAAATATTACTAAATTACCATCCATAAGTTACTACAGATGAGTGTGAAGACTTAGTCTCCAAACAGATCAGCTAGTAGAACGACTGAACATTTTACAGTGATGTTTTTCTATGCAATTACATGTTAATAAGAAATAGAGAAAAACACCTATTTCTACAGTGAAGAATAGAGTACTAGTCCACCTTTGTGTACCCTGCCAATACACAACAGAAAGCACGGCAGAGCACACAGACTTCTTCACTGAAATCAAGACAGACAGAGTCTAGATGACCTATAGAAGCTCTATAATCCAAGTAGCAGTGTAATAATGGAATAAAAATCTTTCTCTGACACTGGAGACATCCAGTACTGTACAAAATGCCTAACAAGCAAGAGCAGAGTTGAACCACTCACCTGTTGTGGAACTGAACAAGACCACTCAGACATCGGATACCTAACGCAGCACACGTCATCTGAACCTGGTTGCTCAGCCAGCACTTAACCCTAGAAGAAAGGAAGCTGTACGTACATTTCTAGTTCTGTGTAGTCACTCATAGAGCATTATAATGCAAACTTTCCAACTTGCTCTCAATTGCCATTATTACAAAGACCACGCTAAGAGGATTTATTGCACTAACATCACCACATAGGAGATTACTAGTTATCAGAAGAGTTGTCAGTCCATTCTTCTACTCAGATCTGTTCTAAAAGGACCAGATTCAGAGGAGAAGACATTATGAGATTATAGATGGGGTTTTGTTTTATAGATTTTCTCTGAAAGCTACTTCTATTGATTCATGTATTAACATTAATTAAATATAAAAACCTTTAGCTATTGAATCCCATTTAAGTTGCTTGCACTGACAGGACATAACTTTATCAGAGTCTCTATGCAGAATTGCTCATGGTAGATAATTAACTCGCCCTGTTCTGACTCAAGTAAAACATCCCTTTATTCACTGTTCTAAATGGACTCTCAGCAGTACCTTCCTGGGTTACATTACATGTCTGCTTTCAGATGCCATTGCTGTACTTCTCACACAGAATGCTCCATGGCTTAAGCAGTAGACTAAAATCACCCCACAATTGTACATATTAATCTTCCAAATTCAAGTACACTTATGTTCTAATGCCCTAAAATTCAGCTCCTTGGAGAAATGGAAAGAGCCCTCAGCAAACACCTACCTGCCATTTGGAAACTGTCCTACTACTGTGTTTGCAGAGATCAGCAAGAGGATGCTGAGGAAAGCCAAGCAGATGCTACAAAACAAAATAATCATTGATAAGAAGCAAAATGGTAAATGTAATCTTAACCAGAAAACCTTTTAACTCTGTGATTCCTTTATAGGATGTTTCTCTCCACCATACATAGCAATAAATTAGCAATAGAAAGCAGTTAAGGCCAATGGGATATGAGCACAGCTTTTCATTCAGTTACTCCTCCACTGAGTACAAGATCTTGTACTGCCCAGTGCCAACCTTCCAAAAAGAACTAAGCCTTGATCTCAAGCCATCTGGTGGTAAAGAACCCATCACAGGAGTTCAGCGTACAATCTTCCTCTCTTATTCAGACAGGTAAAGTCAATGAATATAGACATTTGCATGCTAATAAAAAATACAGAACATAAGAAACATACATCTTCAGCACTTTTTTTGTTTTCCTCTGGGAGGTTTTGATGGCATCCTGGAAAAAAAAGTCTTGCTACATTCTCATTTCTGCACTAGTCAATAGTACATAATGTTACAACATCCATAAAAAGTGGCATTTAAAAAAAAAATCCCAGGAAATTACATCTGGCTCACCGAAAAGGCATCAGGAGACAGTACCGAATCAGGATCCCAATGATCCACACAACAGTCAGTTGCCAGCTGACACAGTGAAAGTTGGCATTGGTTCTGCTGAGGAGATTCCAGGACAGCAGCTCCTCTGAGGAGAAGCGCCGTGTGACTTCATCTTCTGCCACTGCCTCACATGCCTTCTTGGCAAAGTACATAACGTCCCCAAGGTGGAAGTATTCCCTGTGGTGGCCAGCCATCTCCTTTTCCATGGATGTTTCCTCTCTCTGGATGATCCCTTTGTAGCAAGAAACAAAGAAAGAAAAACAACAAGGCAACTACATGAGGAAATGAGTGTTCCTTCCCCTTAGTAAAAAAACTGAAATGATCATGATTTTTAGACCTGACTCTCCTACCACTCTGAGCATCATAATTGCATTGGTAGGCTTTGCTTATGTACTGGCATTTACAAGTTAATTCTCTAATCCTATGCCATATCACAGTAAACCACTAAGATGTTGAAGAAAGGAGACAAGTGTTCAGAGTGAGCTGCAAATAAAAGCCTGAGCACAACATCTACTTCACTGTCATTTATCAAACAACTGAAGTACACACAGTTCAAAATGTCAATAGATTTGTTGAATGAATGTCAACTGCCAAGATTACAGATCCCTCCTCTTGTCTTGACCCAAAGTCAGACAGTGTTAATATTGTTATTTTTCTTGCTGATGGTGTATAGTTTCACTTTTTCCATACTAGCTTCCCAGCTGTAACAAACATCTTCCTCTGGTATTTTTTCTCAGAGACATCTCCTCCCCATCCCCTCTCCTTTAAGGGTTGCCTCACTACCAAGAAACATGAAAGCATCTAGATTTTTTACAGAGTTATACACAGAGTGACATGAAAACACTGCAGAAGAAGAAGGAAAAATTCATGTTTCATATCTGTAAAATTAACACCTCAAAGGACAGCCACACAGCAAAGTCTCAGTGATGATTGCTGAGGTCAGAGATCAGATTCCTACCTGCCTGGTTAAAATTACTAAATTGCATTGTTTCATGTCAGCTAATACTTGGTACTTTTTTTTTTTCTTTGGTTGGTTTCAGCTTTTGATTTTAAAGGGGGAGCATTAAATATGCATTATTGAAAATTAATTTAAAGTGCCTTAATCAGCATGCTACTAATAGATCGGAATCTCAAAACTTCCTCTAGTTACTCTTCAGTCAAACCTTCAATGCACAGGAAATCATCAGTCCTGAAAGTCACCAGTTCAGAAACCAAATAGTCTGTGTGACTAAAGAAGAAATAAAAGGAGGGAAGAGAAAAAAAAATAAATTACTGTCTCAAATTCTATCCCTGTGCCTAAAGAAGAGTGCCATCTGTCTGTGATCCATGAGATGGTGTAGCTGCTTTACTTGAGACTTGATCTTTTGCATGCTGGGAGGTACAAGAAGCAAGAGAAAACCCATAAAGAGCAACATCACGTGCAAAAAATTCTCACTCCTGATCTTGTGCAGACTGAACTGACGGAGTCAGAAAGTATAAAATACACATGGGCCAGCTTCCCAAAAGCTTATCAGCAATACCTTTCTCTACTTACACTGGTCTCTTGAATGCCTTTTATTCAGAAGGCTCAATCATTCATAGCTATCTTGCCTATAATGTACTTAAGGTCTCTTTTGTTGGTTTACAAAATCAGCAATTACTTGCTCATTGAACTTTATCAACTTTTCTTTTTTTTTTTTTTTTCTTAATACCAGGTGCAATTTATATACCTGCTCACTTTTTCCTGGGTAAGATATTAAAACATCTGCCCTTATACAAGATGAATAGTGCTGTGTCACCTTCATTCTTACCATTGGAGATTAAATTTTCAAGTGCCAGCGCCTTCTGCATTTTTACTCCCTTCTCAATCTGCAGGGTGGCCCACTGTTCCCAAAACAAGAAAAGTAGATGTTGATGGTTTTCATTTTGTTATTTCCAGGTAGTCTGTAATGTCCCTATGTGAATTGTCTAAGCTTCCTTTATTGAAGCTAGGTCTCATGTATTTCAAAATTCAGCCCAAAGGCTGTCTTGAACACCTCCTTTTTCATTTGTTACACTGATTACCTGTAGCCATTGTCGTGAAAGATCATTTAGTTCAAACTCATTTTCAAGAGACTGATAATTTTATTTTTTCTTCAACCAAATTACTGAGCTATCTACGAGACTCTGTGAAGTCCACGAGTCCCAAACTCTCTCTTCCCTAGTCAACTTCAGGCAACACAGTTGCTTGAATAATAATGCACAATAATATCACTGACATTAGAGACATTCTGGAATAAAAGACCTGAAAAAAGATTTTAAAGAATAAAAGACATTATCTTATCCTGAGGACATCTGTGTCATTTGTGTTAACAGAAGGCAGTAGATGGATCATTTCTTATCCACAGCACTTCTGAAGCATTAGTTCTGGTAATCAGCTTTTACCCTTCTCTCACTTTACCTTTTTGAGAAAAAACAAATTTCTCCTCCCTGTGCAGACTGGCACTAAACTCAATTAGCAAGATCAAATATACCAATATGCCTACTTCTTAAAGCTTTACATTGGCACATAATGATTTCATAATACTTATATAGACATACAAATAGTAGCTTTCATCAGTACTAGATCCTCCTCTATTTAACTCAATATATTTGACCAAACAAAGAACTTAAGGTTCTCGTGTGTAGGCTGTGATCATCTTTAAGGCATCAGTGATCCACTCAGCACATGTCCTCACCTGGTATGAACTCTTCCATCAGCAGAAGAGTCCAGCCTTCTACTTTGCAGTAGGCTCTTGCTGAACAGTTTATTTGCCATCTTACTGGCATGCATAACCATTTACCTCACCACACAGCTTGATCACAAAGTTTTCATCACCTGGCACACTACTAACTTGCACGTGCCTTTAACTTCAACTACCTTCTTGCTACCCTCAAGTTTTGCATGGTCCCTATCAGCTCCTTCTGTAGCTATCAAAGTTAAACAAAATAATAATAATAATAAAAAAGGATAGTTTATGATGGTGTAAACAAGATATTGTAGTTCCTTCAGTTGACATTTGTTACTGGCCATCTTAAAAACAAACAAACAAAGCAAAAAAAAAACAAAAAAAAACAAGGAAGCCAAATAGGCACAGTGGTGTGATATTTGCAACTGCATAAAATCCATCTGATATAACACTACAGAAGATAAAATAAATTAAAATAAATAAAATAAAATAATTTATTTTAATTTAAAATAAAATAAAGACATTTGGCTTATCTATACTGGAACATTTTATTAAAACACAGCATAAATTTAAAACACAGCAGCTGTTCCAGAAAGCAGAAAACCAGTTTATCCCTGGGAAAGCTGAACTGGTACATTAACTGTCTCAACCTGTCACAATGCATGGTGAGTCACTCAGGAGTGGGGACCTGGGGGGGTGTCAAAAAAGCCTGCAGCCCACACACTGAGACATGAAAGAAGATTTGAAAGAAGATAGTGCACAGCAACAAGAAAGTTGTGATAAAAGTGAAGGTAGGCATGCGGCAAACTTAAGCCATTCATTAAATTCAAACTGGTACTGTTTAATATCTTTATCAGTGACATAGACAGTGAGATCGAGTGCACCCTCAGCAAGTTTGCAGATGACACCAAGCTGAGTGGTTCAGTTTATACCCCAGAAGGAAGGGATGACATCCAAAGGGACCTGGGCAAGCAAGAAAAGTGGGCACGCATGAACCTAATGAGGTTCAACAAATCCAAGTACAAGCACTTGGGTTGGGGTAATCCCAGACGAGTACAGACTGGGAGAAGAACTCATGGAGAGCAGCCCTGCAGAGAAGGACTGGGAGATTCTGGTGGACAAAAAGCTGGACATGAGGCAGCAGTGCACACTTGCAGCCCAGAAGGCCAGCTGCATCCTGGGCTGCATCTGCCCCTCTGAGGCCTCACCTGGAGTACTGCATCCAGGTCTAGGGCCCCCAGCATAGGAAGGATGTGGGGCTGATACAGCGGGTCCAGAGGAGGGCTGCAAAGATGATTAAGGGGCTGGAGCACCTCTCCTGTGAAGAAAGGCTGAGAGAGCTGGAGGTGGTCAGCCTAAAGAAGAGAAAGCTTCGGAGAGACCTCATTGCAGCTTTTCAATACTTAAAGGGGGCTTACAAAAAAGATGAAGAACAACTTTTGTTAAGGGAGAATGGTTTTAAACTAAAAAAGGGGAGATTTAGATTAGAGGTTAGGAGGAAATTCTTCACTGTAAAGGTGTGAGACACTGGCACAGGCTTCCCAGAGAAGCTGTGGATGCTCCATCCCTGGAGGTGTTCAAGACCAGGTGGACATGGCCCTAGACAACCTACTCTAGTGCGTGGCACATCCCTGCCCTCCAAAGCAAGGCTAGATCAAACTTAGATCAAAAATTCTAGATCAAACTTTGGACTGATCCAGCAGTGTAGTTCCCATATTATTTTTTGTGACATCTGTATGCTTCACTTGTTTTTGAATATGAAATAAAGCTTTTTGATTGCCCTTGTTTTGTACAGTATTGAGACAGAACTGTCTGGCTGGCCTTTGTTGCAAAACTGTAATGAAAGGCTGTTTCAAATATCTTACAAAACCATGGGTGTTGCAACTAACACAGACCTTAAGAGCTGAATGGAGCAACCTCATTCCTAAGTTTGCTGACTGAAAGACAACCCAGGAAGCAGGCTTTCTTTCCTCCCACTTCTCAGCTGATGAGGACCCAAGAAGCCCAAACATCCTTGCAGGTGATCCCAGCTGGAATTCTGAAGACTCCAACAGTCCGTGGGAGGCTCTGTCATTACCTTCTGAACAAAATGGGCATGAATAATAGTACATTATATTAATTACTCCCTTCATGGTACATAACATTGTAAGTTACACAATATGGAATGATAATTTTTAAAGTTTCCATTTCTTCTTTTTTTTTTTTTCCTCTCTCTTTTTTCTTTTTAAGTACAGCTTGGTGTGTTGTTCTGTACTCACTTTTTCTGTATTGCGTAATAATTCATTTCTGCCTCTTTTTCTTTCCATTCCCATGTTTTACTACCTCTTCTCCTGTGTCCTCTCAAAAGCTTTTTCTAATCACTCACCACACTGGGTCTTTCAGTTCTCTTCTTAGCTGTGTTCTCATGGGTGGCAAAGGCACAGTGTTTAACTTGGGGTGATTACTCCACATTCTGATATAATTCCCAAGAGAAAGTCAGTGAGTTTCCAGTGCCAGATAAAATCACCAGCTGTGATCAAGCACTTGAGATTTTTTTCACCTAGCTTCCCAGTCTAGTCTCCTTTCACTGTACATGTGTTTGTGTTCTAGCTGAGAACAAGAACCCAGATGATCGGGTGATCTGTGCGCTACATGGCAGGGCTGATGAAGATGTGCAGACAGGGATTCTCCACGTTCAGGTGTGGAAAAGCACTCACGACTCTTCTGGCTGCCCTTCAAAAGGCCAATGAAATAGGTTGAGAAAAGGCTCAAGCAGTTGTCTGGAGTAAAAACAAAACTATCATTTCTTTGTTATGTGATGCAGTGGCTAGCCTGGGATAACCATGAATTTGAAAGCACAGAAGGGAGGTTCTTCTATTAACCTAAGGGTTGGCAATATCTGCTTGTGCTCCAGTTGGAGTTCACACTGTATTAGCATCCTCAAAGCATGGGTGAGCCCAATACTCAAGTAATACTCTGCGTAGCTGCTCAAAGAAGTATCCACCATAGGAGCCAGCTAACGCCTTTCCTACAAATGACTGCTTCTCAAAGAACTGCAATTCTCCTGTTTCATACAGAACCTCAGGTCTCAAAAACACTCCAGAAGATCCTAGGGAAATGGAGCTACTGCTGTCTAACATGCTATTGCACTCTCCACATGACTGGGATCTCAGTGTGTTTATTTCATTCTAACAAATAGATTTTTTGCAGCTGCAGCAGTAAAGAACCTGAACTACATTCTCAGCATAGCTTTGCTGCAATCATCATTACAGACAAGTAAATATGAAGTTTGGAAAAAATGTGTTATTTCACAAAGAAAAGCTTATGTGCCTATGGTAGAGAATGACCCTATTGGAAAGGATAACAGTAACCATTTCAAATCCATTTTTAATGTTTTCAGAAATATCTTAAAGACAAATGAATGGTAATAGCAGCGATTATGGGCTACCAGTTAAGCAACTGAAATATTACTGTTCTGGAGTTCTTTTTCTATTATACTATCAATATGCTTGGGAAAACAGAAAGAAAATAAAATCAGGTCTTGTTTTGGAAAAAGGTTTGTTTTGTTTCAAAGAAACAAATATCTAGATTCCTTGCTGGAGAAGAAGCAAAGGGTAAAAATTCAAGTCTCTCCAGACAGAATACAGAGCAAAGATACAAAATACATAGATTCTAGCATGCTCTTCTGTTTCAGTCATTGTTTTCATTTCTAAAGCACTTCAGTGAAGTTGGAAAAGGAAAAAGAGGTACCTCATCATATGTCAACATTACTCATAGCTTACAAACAGATCTGCAAACTTGAGCTCTCAGCAAATTCACTAAGGGCTACAGATATCTTGTCTTTGAAAATGCAACTTCGGAAGAAATATTATTTGATATTCAAATCCTCGGTTTCCTTGTCTGCTCTTCTACTTTTCTCAAACTGCCAAAACCTGGAGGAAAACAAATCATGTTTTCCTTCTGTCTCCCAGCTTGTGTAGTTACTTATATCTATACAAAGCAAATACAGTGTTCTCAGATGAGAAGTTTTCCGTTCACTTCACTACACTATATAACAGACTGAATCAAATGCATGACAGTGGAGAATCCAGTCACAGTGTCCAAGTTTGGATTCCTTGGTAAACTACTAATCAGTTGTTAGGTACTCCCTAGAGCCCTGATATTCCTGGGATACAGTCATTACTGTGCCGATACATTCCTAGGTGCCTGGGCTAAGGACTTTTGGAGCAGCTATTCAGCAAGGCATCATACTTCACCACTAGGGCTAGCAACAATTCCTGAGGATAGGTTTTGTGCATCACTCTCTGAGTAAGATCTCAGGCAAGCAGGTAATGCCATGGCTAGACACAGGCTGACATTTCACAAGGCTATCAGTCAAGCTCTCTGGAAGGAGCCCCAGGACTTCCAGAAGAGGTCCAGCACCTACACGCACAGGCTTGAACCCAGCACGTCCCAGAGCAGCGTGAGCCACAGTAAGAGCAGAAGGAACCTGACCTTCCCTCTGTTCTCTCCCCTACTTCCCACCAAGATATATCTCAGCTACTCTGGTAGCATGAGAAGCTCTTTGCACAATTCCTCAGCAAAAAACAGCTAAATGAATCAGAATATAAAGCACAGGAAATTTCCCTTCTTTGCCTTCAGGACAGCAGGGAAACAACTTTCAAGCAAAGAACAAACCAAAAAATGCCTACAAGGAACCAGCCTGAACCGCAGCACACTGAGTTGTACTCTGCCTGTTATCAGCTGTTGCAGAATTGGGAACTATACATAAGAGGATATATTTGACTGCAGAGTGATTAATTACTTTTTTTTTCTCTCTTTCTCTGATAAATCAATCCTCAGCATTGTTTAAGCAAGACTATCATGCTTGCAACCTGTTAGAAAAACTACGGATTATGACAAAAACATTTAATGCCCTTTCCAAAGAGAAGTGTCTTCCTACAATGAATGCCTGCCACGATGTGGCAAATTTCCTTTGTAACTGGTAAAAGCACGGGGTAGGGGAAGGAAACAAAGCAAACAAACAAAAAAAAACCAGCACAAATTATTTCAGTATCTGCCAACTGCAGCAGCAGAGCTGTCCAATGAGCTCCTCAGGTTTGTGCCTGGTGAATTCAATTCTACATACAAGTGACACAAGCCTTTTTTTTAAGGTACTAATAAGAGTTAAAATCAGCATAGCAACGGCTGATAAAAAAAAAAAAAAGCACAATAGACTATATTACATACACCCCCTGCAGCCAGCCATTTCCCATTGATATCAACATCTGAATCAAGTATCAACATCTAAAGTTCACAATCATGTCTGCTATGCTAAATTCAAACAGCTGAAGCCAGCTCCTGCCATAGAGCTCTTAATCAGTACTAAAAAAGAGACAAAGCTATTTTAATAAGACAGAAAAAAAAAAGGCAAGATAAGATGTATGTAATATTAATCATATCACATTGCCCTGAACACATTCTGCTGCACAAATGCTCCAGCAGTCTAATAGCAATAATTTTTCTGCCATATGTAGAAGTATACTCACAAAAAACAGTTTTCTATCAGAAAAGACAAAGGTTATATATTGGAAAGCTGAAATGCTTTAGTGTTTAAAAAGATAAATTGACAGCACCTACTTCTTGGCCACTGATGGGCATAAAAAGTCAGACTTGAAAAATGACATGCAATCCTGGCTTATCAACATGCCCCAAAAGCTTTCACTGTTATCAGCAGAATGAGGATCTTAGCCATGACCTGTTCATCTCTAGAAAAATTGCACTTTCGGAAGGTGGCATGTGTTCCTCAAGTTTTTTACAGCAGAATTCGTGACTGCTCCATCACACACATTTATAAATGGAAGAAAAACAAACACAGTCTGTATTCTTACCTAGAAGAATACTCATTTGTGGTATATAACTGTAACTACCAAAACAAAACCATTAAGCTTACATCTACAATACATTTTTGTGTTACTTAAAAACTCTCATAAACTAAAGCATCATTTTATTGATACTTTACTTTCCTGAAGTATAGCATGAGGTATTCTAACGAGGCTGAATTAGAAGCAGTATAACATGGAATCTCTAACATAAGAAAACCTCAAACTGATTCTAGACTATAACACATCATTTAACTAGATATCATTAAAGACAACATTTGTGTAACTTAAGAGCAGGAAAACAAAACAAAACAAAACAAAACACAAAACAAAACACTGATGTAAACATCTCAAAGTAAATGGAAACCTCCTTCATGAGTTTTATGGCATCTGTATCAAATAAACAGATTTTTTTTATTATTATTAAGTATGTCCTGTAGTAAAGATGTAACTTTTTAACACAATTCTCAACTTACCTCTAATGTTTTTATTAAAATTTTCACATAGATGTGAGAAATCCCCAATGACACTCTAAACATGGAAGGCAACAGAACTAACACCACAAACAAAATCAGCCAGACTAACAAAATTTTGCCCTCTGTAAGGGCCTGTCTGTTTTCTTCCATGCTTGCTCCTTCAAAATGCCAACCTGCTGGCTTTCTGAGAATATTTGTTCATCTGCAGTGGAGAATCCAGCGAGCTTCAAAAGTCAGAGGCAAATAAAAATTACACATTCTAAAAGCCAAAGCTATCCCTAGGAGAGAGCAGCTGCCCTCTAAACCTGCCACCAGAGATGCTCTCAATGATAGCATAATTTTTAGCTTTTATTCCGCCCTAACTCCACCCACTGCCATATAATTGATAAGCATTTACTCATCAGATATAATATAGGGTAGAAGAAAGATAAAACAACCAAGTAATAATATATGTCAGGTAATAAGGTGCTGCCAATATGGAAACTTGACAATGTGTCAACTAGTTTCTACAAGACGTCCTGCCAATAAATTACAGAACAATTCCAAATAGGCGTGGTTTTCAAGCCTTGTCAAATGTTCTGTTCTAAAAAGTAATGTACATGGAGCATTTCCACAAATTAAGCTTGATCAAATTATTAGCTTCTTTGGGCAAACTTTCTTCTTCACAATGGAACGACTGTCTTGTTTCACTATCTCACCACTAAAACCAAACTGAAGCTTTATTGGGTTTGTCAACTACTCTTTTTTTTTGTGTGTGTGTGTGTGTGTGTGTTTTTTGTAATAACTCTGAGATGTAAATGTAAATTGCAGCAGGCAGGAATCAACAATAGAAGGGAATAAAACCTGCTCCCTCTGTTGCTCTACAAGAAATTAGCCAAATTATATCCAAATTATATTACAGGGTTACAAAACGTACTGTGGTGAAGTAACAAGTCACCTATCTTTGCATCTATCCAAATGCACAATTTAAATATGCTTGATAAGCAGGTTTCTCCTTCTATCCTATGAGATGCCAATAATTTAATTCAGTATTTTGAGAAAGACCCAGTTCAGCCCCTTATCCTGACCCCTCTCCTCTCCTTTCACATGCATCAGAGAAGAAACTAAAAAGTTAATAGCTGTATCCCTAGAACCTAAGGGGAGCCCATCAGCTGCTCATTTACAACCTGATCGCAGAATAAGCAAACAAAATTGTGGAATGAACACTCTGGGCATAACTTCCAAAACAGTTATATGCTGGTCCACACAAGACCATTCCTTTGCACGCAGTTACATTTGCACGTTTGTCTGGAGCAGGCACTGTCTGTTCAAAATGCCTTCATCCACGGGTACCACAATCTGGTTTGTGTGGTGAAGCAGCCTCGCTGCATGCAAGCAGGGTTCTTCAGGAATGAAAGCAGACCCAAAGACACACGCCAGAAAATGAGCACAATATGCTCCAGTCATTAACAGAAGCACAAGAGTCAGAGTGCTCTGCATACCACTAACTCCTTCTGTTCACACCTTGCACTCAGGGACACACAAGCAGTCTCCTCACATTTTACAAGCTCACGATACCATGATATCCTTCTTGTGCCATACCATGGGGTGAAGTACCTTTTGTATCTTCAGATTTGCTGCTGAATGTCAGTCTTCTGATCTTCATAATTCCACTGCACCTTCTTCCGCAATCTAACTTTCCTTTTGCCTCTTAATTTTCTACCTGCCTTTGCTAACCTATTTCTGAGCCTTTGTATCTTCTATAAGACATTGCTGTTTGATTTTTTTTAACGTTTTCTACCTTCCCATGGCTTTCTCTCAATGTTAACCTCAAACCCCTTACTCTGCCGTCAGGCTGGTGCTGCCACATGAACCATTACCCACTGTTCCTCACCCCTCTCACCAAAAGGTATAGGCTCATCTGGGCTTCTTGAGGAACAATATTTCTTTGTCAAAAATAAAAAGCTTTGGTCGCTTGTTCCTCTTTAGCTACCGTTCTTTACATTCTCATTTATGGCCTCTTCCCACAGCAGCTTGTCATGCATTCCCTAAGGCAGCACAGGGTAGAGGGTTGTGGATAAAGGGATATCAATTCTCTGGCACAACACAGCTCATCTGAACAGCTTTCAGCTTCAGCACAGGGCATTGGCATGCACAGCGTCTGGATGTTAAAAATTTTGTGGGCGGGAGGGTGGAGGTAGTTTCTGGGACCTAATGTAAGGCAGGAAAGGTGGGCCAAATGAAATATTGATAGCCCATCAAGACATAACAGGAAGGTGTAGCAACAATCTTAATTAGATGCCTTGGCAATCAGCCCGTGCATGGGAAAGAGAGATCACTTCTTGAAAGGAGAGGGAGAAAGACATATTTCTCTAACCTCAAGTTTCCCCTCCTGAATGAGGGATCATAACATAGAACCACAGAATCACAGAGAGTGATAGGGATAACTGTTTTCCATCCTGTCAGAACTTGCCTTCTGCACTGCCTCTCTAACCTTTACCAAGTCATATTCCCCTCAAACCACAGCAGCAGCATGACACTTGAATTCTTCCCTTCTACCTTCTAGAAAAACAGAGAGCAAGCAACCCTCCCCTGCTCACCCTTCCACCCCTCTTGAATAATGGGATTGCAACCCTTTGTCAGCTATAACTTTTCCTATAATTTTCCCTGGGAAACCGTTCAGTCCAAGACCTTTGAGTCCTCCTGGGATCTGCTCTGACAGCTATCATGGGCATATCCCCAAAAAGCAGAACAGGTAGCAAAGTTATGCTTGCTGAGATGCACCACTGGGATGGGAGAGGGAAGAAATAAAACAGGGCGTTTTGGCAATCTATTGCTTTTCAGCCAACATGTCACATTTGCCACACAGCAGAACATAATTTCAAGCTTTTGGCCAACCACACAGGCAAATGAATCCTTTTTGTGGCCATGGAACATATATCTTTATACTGACTTACCAGTCTTAAAGAGGTTACTTATGACAGAAAGAAATTATTCTGAAGCTTCATCTTGCTGGCATCAGATCAGTCAAACCTGACTCTAATGCTTATTTACTGCTCTTAATCCATACAAATGACTTTTGGCTGCCTGAGAAAAATGGGAGACATTGGTATTTGTAGTTCTTGAGAAAGAGATACATACATTGCCCTCATCTCCATCATTTTCTCTAAAACCAAAAGATCCGAGTGTAGGCAACAACTGATAAAAATTATGTGTGACAAAACTCAACTTTATCAAAAAACCTCAACTTTACCACTCAACTTTATCAACTCAGAAAATTACAAATGCCAACATTCATCTGTGCCAAAATACAGGCAAAGCTTCGGCTTGAATCTGATCTATGATATGATTGTTATGAAAAGAAAAAAAAAAGATGATAAGATCTTTATGAAAAAATTCTAGGTCAAACCCCCAGCTGAAGGGATGCAAGACACAGACTCCTGATGGCTATTGAACAGGAGAAGTTTATTGCCCTTTTTCACTACTACATATACTTTCCCCATAGTCCCACGTGCTGTCCGTGCCTGAAACTGTCATACAATTGGTTAGAGACCCTCAGACAAACTTCGAGCCAACCAGCAATTGGCCACTGCCCAAAGCTCATCTTTAACACTGTAGCCAATTTACATTATCTCAACTTTGCTCAAGTTTTTGTTTCTACCGCTTGTTTCCTCATTATCTCTAATTCAGGGATGTGTGAAACAGCGCGAAGCCACCTGCAAATTCCTTTCCCACACCCAGCTGCCCATCTGCTTTTAAGAACTGCTTGTACAAAATTCTAGCATGTTAGCACTGATAAGCTTTGTTAAGCTTAACGTAGCTAAATAATAGTACTTAGACTTCAGTGAGGCCATATATCCTGAAATGTTGTCTCTGATATGGGGTGAAAAATGATTACTTAGGAAAAAGAATAAAAACATGGAAAATGTGCACTAGTTTTCAGGAAGCCTGCAGTGACTACCGCTCAAGAAATTCCTCAGCCAGATGCAGTTGCTTTGTATTTAGTAACAGTTATAAATTTATTTTCTATGAACTTTTCCAGTCTCCTCTCAAACCCACATAGCTTTTAGTATTCATAGCTGATTGTAGGAAGTCATCCCTGATTATATTGTGACTTTTAAAAAAATCACCTCTTTTTGTTTGAATCTGGATCCTGCAGATTTATCTGACATCCCCTGCTTCTTGTGTCAGAGACTGAACAAGCAATCCCCAGCTACACTTACCAAGTGTATTTGTAATGTTTTCCACGTATTTTATAGATATCTGTCATATCCACCTCAGTCATCTACTTTCAAGGGAAGACAAATAGGATAATTAGTCATTCTTTATACAGAAGCTGTCTCATACCTTTCATTATCCTTGCTGCCTTTCTCTATACCCTTCTTGAGGCAGGACCTGGAAAACCATACAAGTCATCTGACTGCAAAAAAAGTTGGGATTTATACAATAACATGATGACATTATCTGTTTTGTTTTCTAATTTCTAACCCTGACATTGCTAACACCTGATCTGCTTTTTCAGCTGCCAATGAGTTGATGCTTTCATGAACTATCTTTTCAAATCTTAAAATCTTGTCTGATACTAGTCAGTTCAAAACTCATTGTTTTGTATGTGAACTAATGTTTTTTTTTTTTCTCCAACATGCATCACCTTATACTTACAAGCCATGTTATAGTATGGCTGCTTAGTTTTCTTACAAGCCTTTGTTGAAGGAATTTGTTGAAAGGCTTCTGTAAATCCAAGATCAATCAGATCACCCTTATCCACATGTTTTTTGATACCCTCCAAGGATAGCCTTATGTTTGTGAGGCAGGACTTCCTTTTAGGAAAACAGTTTTAACTCTTCCCAGATAAGTCATATTTATCCAGATGTCCACTGTTCTATATTAGAGTTTCCACCTATTTGTTTTATGTAAATATTGGACTGACAGGCTTGTTTTCTGAAACTCTCTTGGAACATTTTTGTTAAAAAATGCCACTCTGTAGTCTCAGGTAACAAGGCACTCTTAACTAAGAGTAATCTGTTGCAGCTTCAAATTCCTTTAAAACTCTGTGTGATTGATCTTAGTGCCTATTTCATTTTGTTTGCCTACAATCACCTACAGACACTTGTCCATATAGATTCTTATGATAATAATCATTTATGATTCTGAACAGTTTTACTATCAGTGGATTTACCTAAAATCTAATGTATATCAACCAGCTCTGTCTTCTGGATTCAGAAGACATTCCAGCAACATAAAAAGAAATAAGACGTATGTTATGTTTCATTCCACAATAAAAGAAAAGTGGTCATTTCAGCTACAGGTTCCTACAAAAGTACCCTAGGTCTGTGGATTCTTTAAAAATGCAAACCTTTTCACCCATTCCTTAGTGATGAGAAATAGAGAGAGGGAAAGAGGATATCATGGCCTCTAATTTAGAGGCAGCATTTTAGTGCTGTAAATACCTGAATGGTAAGGATTTCTCCTTTTTGACATTTCGTTATTTTCCTATCTGTTTTTTTTTTTTTTTTTTTTTTTTTTTTCACATAAAATCAACATAGGCTAGTTCCCTAAAAATGTCCATTTTAACAACTTTTGAGTAGATTCTAGCTGTATTGTCTGTAAACAATTTAATAAACTATGCAATTTATTGTAGTATGTGGTTTTAGCCAAATGAGAGAATCAGAAGGGAAAAGGAAAAGGAAAAGGAAAAGGAAAAGGAAA